GGCGGGGCCGGGCGCCCTCTGGCCGCTGCAGGCTGGCGGCGGCGGCGCGGGGACTGGGGGACAGCGAGGCGGCAGTGCCAGCAGCGACGCCCGGGGAAGCCCGCGCCCGCCTGCGCCTCCGCGGCGCGCCCAGGGAGCGGAGCGGCCCCGCGGCGCCGCCCCAGGCCAGAGGCGAGCGCAGGGCGCCGAGAGCCCGGAGCCGGCCGGCCGCGGAGAGCCCCAGCAGCGGCGGGAGCGCGGGGGCGCGGCCGGAGGAGGCGGCCGAGCGAGCGGGGCCTGGGCAGACGCGGCATTCGGGGCTGCTTGGCGGGAGACAAAGCCGCGGCCGGGAGACGCGCAATGCCCGCAGATCGCAAGCCCCGCCGGCGAGGGCGCGGAGCCCGCGGCGTTTGAGCGCGTCCCGGGGACGCCGAGGCCCGGGCGGGTGCGGGCGGCGGGCGGGGCCCAGGTGCGCCCGGCCGCGTCGGGCCCGTGACTGCTCGGGGGGCGGCGCCCTCCCGCCGCAGCCGCAGTGGCCGGCGCCGCAGCGAGGAGCCATGGGCAACATCTCCTCCAACATCTCGGCCTTCCAGTCCCTGCACATCGTCATGCTGGGCTTGGACTCGGCCGGCAAGACCACGGTGCTCTACCGGCTCAAGTTCAACGAATTCGTGAACACGGTGCCCACCATCGGCTTCAACACGGAGAAGATCAAGCTGAGCAACGGCACGGCCAAGGGCATCAGCTGCCACTTCTGGGACGTGGGCGGCCAGGAGAAGCTGCGGCCGCTGTGGAAGTCCTACAGCCGCTGCACGGACGGCATCATCTACGTGGTGGACTCGGTGGACGTGGACCGGCTGGAGGAGGCCAAGACGGAGCTGCACAAGGTGACCAAGTTCGCCGAGAACCAGGGCACGCCGCTGCTGGTCATCGCCAACAAGCAGGACCTGCCCAAGTCGCTGCCGGTGGCCGAGATCGAGAAGCAGCTGGCGCTGCACGAGCTCATCCCGGCCACCACCTACCACGTCCAGCCGGCGTGCGCCATCATCGGCGAGGGCCTCACCGAGGGCATGGACAAGCTCTATGAGATGATCCTGAAACGCAGGAAGTCCCTCAAGCAGAAGAAGAAGCGGTAATGCGCCGGCAGCGCTCGGAGCGAGGGGCAGCGGCGAGTGAGTCAAGAATGAATGAATGAATGGATGAACGGCTGGCTGGCTGGATGGGTGCGCGAGAACCCGCGCCGGCGAACAAAGACAGCGAACCAAAGCGATGCTTCGAATTTTTAGAACGGAATCCCCGCACCCAAATGCGGGGTTGGTGACTTAACCTGGGCGTGAAGGCTGCTTTCCTAGCCTGCTCGGCCTGCCCCCACCCCCAGCTCAGGGGACCTTTTGTCTGTACGAGAGCTACTGATGGGGTGGGCGGCCGCGGTGGGGAGGGGAAGTGCCGGCCCTGCTGTCCGCCCTCCCGGCCCCAGGTGGAAGACTCAGATGTCAGAGAGACAAAAGCGATTTCTTCCTACTCCTGCGGGGCCAGAGTTCAGACTGCCCCGCCCCCGCTGGGGGATCGCACCTGGGAGTCACCTGAGGTATGCATTCCCAGAACCCTGAGCTACCCATCTGGGGGGCATGTTGGCAGTGGGGGGTCTTGGGGAGAACACCTCTCCTTGCATTCAGGGGCTGTGGAAGCTGAATAATTTTATGTCACAGGGCAGGCCCCTGTTGAAATTTCATTTGTCCTGTTCTGGGCCCAGAGGAGATGGTGGTTTGGGCCATCAGAGGACTGCCTGGGACAATGCAGCAGCCAGAGGGCACCGGGCACTGTGCTGGCCTTGGCTGGGAATGGCCTCGAAGATGCCCCTTTCCTGGTGCTTTGTGGTGGCTACAGAAGACCAGTTTTGTTGAGAACTGCTTTTCAGCCTGGAATCAGACATCTTCCAGATGGTTTGGACCCTGTCCGTGTGTAGGTCATTATCACACAAAGAGACCAATAAAAATTAAAAAAAAAAAAAACTGTTGGAGGTGGTGGCAAATGATGCATTTACTGTTTGCAAGATAGTTAAAGGTGTTTAAAGGGTAAGGCTCTTGGCGTAAATGCTGGATGGAGTGTGTGTGTGTGGATACAGGGACCTCCCTCTGTACTGTGTAATTGGGGTAAATACCCAGACCTATATGTGTGGAATTTTAAATTCTCTTAGCCTACTGATTGGTTTGGATGAGCACACCAGCTGCAGATGTGTGCTGAATTGCAAGATGGTTTTTTTTTTTGCAAGGGGTGTCTCTTGCAATACTAACCGCGTGATTATGGGTTTTCAGACATGTTTTAAAAAAAACTTTTACAAATGAATACTCACCTTAGAAATATTCACCTTAGGAAAAAAGACTTTGCTCTGCCCTTTTATATCCCTTTATGGCAAGTGGTGACATGTTCAGAATTCTAATTTGGTTCATTGTGGCCTATCTGGTTAAGTATTTCATTAAAAATGTCTCCTTAGAGTATTTGATGTCATATACACCAAAAAATAAAACCCCACCTTGTTGCAAAAGCCAGACCTCGTTGCATGGATTTAAAAGGGAAGGAAAAACACAAGGATGAAGCCCCTCCGAATTCATTCTTGTGGGAACTGGCCTTCCTAGCCAGCCAGCACTTTGGGCAAATGCAAACAACAACGAGTGCTTGAGATAAAAGAAAGCATGTGACGTAATGGTCACTGGTACTCAGGCACTTTACAGTTTACTTGAAAGAAGCTTTGGAAAATAGGTAAAGTGAAAGAAGAATAAATACATATTTTTAATAATGTAATTTAAAAAATCCTTTATGATCAGGACTGAGTCTTGGTTTGCAGAAGCTGTCATTTACGCTGCAACACAGTATCAAAAGGGAAACTTAAAACTTACTGTTTGATTTTTTAAATTTCCTCTTAGAATCCATATTTTCAGATAGAATTATGATTTCCCCGGATGTTATACATTTCTTTCCAAAGGAGGTCCATAGAAATTGGACATGATCATGCTTGAGCATGTGATTTAGTCAAATTTTAAGTCCATGCCTATTGTCCATTACACTCTGAAAGTTAATTTAAGAACCAGAGGCAGAAGTTCTGGCTTCCTGCTTGAAACCCAATTCTTATATGAAATTCTGTAAAAGCGGAAACCTAGCAGCCCATCTACTTTTTCTCTTTTGTCAATATATTTGGTACCCCTCCGATGCTGGTCTTTTTGTAGAAACTCAGTAGAGAAAGTATAGCTACGCAATGTTGAAAGCCTGCCAGATTTCAGTTTACATATCGACAGCATAGTCACTGATTTCTAAATGGGCTGGTCCCATCATCGAAGATTCTGTATAGAATTATAGAAAAAAAAAATCCATCTTTCTTTATTTTCTTCACATGCAACAATTTCTTAAGCACTTTGACATTTTGGTAGTTCCACACTATTGAAAGAATAATATATTTATTTTGTGACATTGCAGATGCCAAATACTGTAACCTTCTTGTGCTAACGATACCTAGGTTCAAGATCACTGTTCAAATCCTGTCATGCTTTAAAAATGATGCAAGATGATTTTGTTTTTTGCATTATTGATACTTAAGGGTGCAATCAACTGTTAGTAATTGTGCAGTAAAGTAAAGCCCTGTGGTGTATCAACTAATAGTTAAGAGTCTCAGTTGATTTCTGTACTGTTTGACCTAATAATAGCCCATTTTGTCTCTGACCCAACAGAGGAAGCACAGATAAAATCACCTTGGAGTAGTCATGGAGGAGGGAGTCCTCCCAGTGTGTCAGTCAGTGATTTATCATGCCTTCTGCCCTTTGGAGAATGAATGGGTTTCACATAGAGGAAGCTGGCCTCCCCAAGTGAGCTTTTGAAATGTTTTCTAGTAGACACAGGGAGGCCAATTTTGTTTCTGAACAGTTTTCTTCACAAATTCTCTGTTATGGTGTTGGGACCGTGTCCCCCAGTTTCAGTTTTCCTTTCTACTGCTGTAGTTCTCTGTCTTGACCGTCCTCCTCTTTTGTTTCCATAGCCTTTTATAATGCATATACGATGCTGTGAACAGAAATAAATTATTTATACAATCAAACGATTGGGGAGATTTTCTGTGGATGGTTTTTCACATTGTCGTGTTCATTCTCTTGGCCTCTGCCGAGTGATGGATGGATCACAAGATGGTGTCGGGGTCTAAGAGGTCCTGGAGCTGAATCAGTCATCTCTGCTTTCTTGGGGTCAGGGTCTAGGTGTACCCTGAATGGGGAATTTAGAGGCTCAAATGAGGGAGTCTGTGTTCATCTGAGGCTCATCCACTGTGCCCGTCCCCCTACAGGGCCTGTCCATCAAGTCTTCTCAGATCCTTTAGGAAAATAGCCTCAATGTCTCACCTTTCCTCAGCACTCTCATTTATCAAAAAGGTCATGAATTGTTACTTATTTCAAAAGTGTCTGATGATATAAAATTGGAAATAGCTACGTGCTAATGTAACAACGGTAAAAATTACCAAGCTGCTCCATGTCTTGGCTGCATCTCTCTGCTCAGTATCTGGCTCTATCTGTCGCTGTTGAGCCCATCAGAAGTACTGCAAGACTGGGGTTCTCTTAAATAGTAGGTGTGGTAAGACCATCACACTCTGCAGATGCTGCAGAGAAAAGGTCCACTCTCAAAAGAAAAAAGTGATTGGGCCAGAACCAATGGAACCGTCAACAGGGTAGCCCGTCAAGGCACTTGGCAAATAGTAAGCAATAAGCTTAATGGTCACTAAGTGATGGTTAAGACCCCAGTGGGGTCTCTTAAGTCTGGAGGCCAAAAGAGCCAGTTCCAAATTCTGGCTTAAGTGCTTTGGGTCCTGTGATTTTGCTCAAGTTCCTTAGCCTCTGAGGCTCAGTTTCCCTAAATGTAAAATGGGATCATAATGGTACTTCAGAGGGTTGTTGGGAGGATGAAGCGTGATACAGGTGAAGTGCTTGGCCCAGTACCTGGCACAGAGCAAGTACTCAGTAGCTTTAGCTTGTATTGTTGTTGGCTGCCAAGAATATGTAGAATGCATAGTAATTTAACCTTATAGCTTGGCTTTAAGTTAGGTCATTGCCATCTCCCTTTTATCCACACCTCTTGCGATCCCCATCTGCTAAAACCTAGGCTGTTAACTCCAGGCTGAGGCCAGAAAGGAGTGAACTCATCCAAAGCTGTGAGAAGCTGAATTAAGTGTCAAACTTGGGTGACCAGACTCTTGAATCCATTACTTTTCATACATCCCATGTCACGAGGCTGTGAGCACCTCGAGACAGAAAGTAGATCTTCTTCCACTGCTGCTACCTAGCACGTTGAGCACATAGTAGGTGCTCAGTAGGTATTGACTGAATGACGTAATTCATGTCAATTTGTTTTAGTTGTAAACTTCAAAGTAGCCATTATATGAAATAAATGAGTATTTCCAATTAAATATTTAAATGAAAATGAAAATAGACAAATTATTATCATTCTTCCAGATCACTATCGTGAGATAAATCATTGCTCTGAGCCTGTAGAAGTGTGTTGAAACTCACACATTGGTAAACGCGTTTGTGAATTTAGAGGTTTTTCTTAAAAAATGAGCAAGGCTTGACTTTATCATTCACATTGCCACAGAAGCTGATTATTAGGGCCTAGATTACATCAAAAGGGGATGGATGCTATTTTTAAGCATTGAAACCTAAAAAATGATTAAAAAACCATTTAGGGGCCGTAACAGCCCTATATGAGTAAAAATATTTAAAGTCAAAAGAAGCAAAGACCAAAACCCTTGCTTTATGGTACAACCTTAACGGTGATTTAACAAACAAATTCTTGGAGAACCAAATGGCCTCTGATGTTTAGATGCTAGCGTTCATTTTGTTTTCCAGAAAAATAACCACAAGTGGTCCCTTGGCTCTAACAAGTGAGGTCGATTTGAGTCCTAAGCAACTTCCTTGTTTTCCCCAATCTGAATTTTTCCTTCAAGGTTTTGATTCTTCACTTGAAAGGTTTTTTTTTTTTTTTCGATAGACCACAAACATCTGCCTTTACTGTTTTGTGCCTTTACTCTTGCCTCCAGAGCGTGGCCTCTTGGAACAATCCTGTTACCAACATGATAGACTGTTTTGATGTCACAATCATACGGTAACAAGGAAGCACAAAATTACGCCCAAAAAGCAGAAGATAGAAGGGCCGCTATGATGACACCGGTGAGAAGAGAACAAACACAGAACTTGGTAGTTTTGATTTAACAGCTCTTTCCCCGTCCAGCTGAATACCCTCTCTCCCTCCTCTGCGTCCTGATGCAGGCCTGGTGTCTACGATTTGGCATTTGCCTGCCAGGAAGGGACTCCGCCATCTCAGTTGATATGCTGGCGTTTCTTTTCTCTCCTCATTCGCTGTCTCGTACATGTTCACTTATCCTTAAAACAGCTCCCTCCTTCTGGCTCTCCCTGGCTCAGCTGAAACCAGTTTAAAATAGAATTTGCACAAGACATTGGAGCTCTGTATACTTTTGTTTTGTACCGGTTCTGAACTTAAGAGTGGGACTGCGCTGGTTTCCGAGAGCAACTTGCAATTTGAGAGTTTCTGAGAAAGCAGCGTATTGTTTCTGTCCTGAGATTAGAAGTGAGAAAGGGCTGTGTCTTCCCCCACCTAAGTTTTCAGAATAGGAAGTGGCTTTCTTTGAATGGTACGACCTTACATGCAACTCTCTAGGCATTAACTGCTTCTGATGAGAGTGTAGCAGGGGATGCTTTCTACTGTGGGGTATGACAGCATGACGTGGAAGAGAGAACGAAAACAAGTAATTTTTTAGGTTATATTGATAGCATGGCTTTGGGAGGACAAGTTTGCATTTGTTAATTAAAATTACTCTAGCATGGTAATGTTGAGCACAGCCTGGTTTATATTCCCTGTTAGTCCTATGTGATCTTGGTCATGGCCACTGCAGCCTTTATGGAGTGCGTAATATGTGCTAGGCACCATGCTAGGTGTTTCGTAGGCTTATTCTTGTTTTTGCCTCCCAAGGGCCCCAAGAGATCAATTAATTTTATCATATCTGCACGTACAAATGAGGAAACCGAGGGTAAGGGGAGATCAGGTAATCTCCAGGATCAGTGCCCGGTGAGGGTGGAGCCAGTTTAAACCTCAGGTCCATTCCACTCCGAGGCTGGGCTCCGGGAGCCTCCACTGACCCGCTGCTCTTGCATTGGGAACGTCCTGCAGTTGAAGGAATCTGGGGCTCCGAATCTAGGAAGAAGAGGATGAAGGGTTTGTGTTGACAGCATGCACCACCACCCTCACGTTGGTGACAGAAAGGGCCACCTCCCTGCACGCCCCTCCCCAGGACTCTGCTGACGTGCCTTACAGAACATATCCCCGAGTCTAGAAAAAGACAATCCCTCTTGTATCAGATTCTGTCCTTGAGTAACTTTGTTTCCGGTATTCCTTTCAGAAGAGTGTTCGTGTTGGGGACGGTGCCTCCCTGCTTCGTACAGGGGAAGTGCTGTGCCCCAGCGGGTGGATGCCGGGCGTGCCAGGGCGTCTGCGTCTGGGGATGCGGTCTCGCACGAGTCATCTAACCCCTCTTAACCTCAGATCCCTCAATACACCGTGAGGCCGAGAATCCCTGCCCTGCCTACCCCTCGGGATCGTTTTAAAGATAAAATGAAACAAGAGTTGGGGAAGCACCGTGCGGCCTGCATGGCAAGTCCAGACACGGGAGGACGCGTGTGCTGCTGCGGTTGTGCCATCTCTCCGCGGGTGGCAGGAGGCCAGCTTGCGGTGGCGGGGAATTCTGCTTGTCCCGTTTTCGGGGACAGGCCAAGCAGCCCCGGTGCTCCCTCTTCATTTTCCCTGATAAAGAAAACTTCCAGCTCACAGAGTAAACCAAAGGAGACTCGCAATGGAAACCGTCTCTCCTTGTGGGATTCCGGATACACAACGTTTAGCGGAAGTTTCCGTTAAGTGACTATTGGGGAAAATAAGCCTCCTTCTGTCTGTCGTTCGCAGGATTCTCATTCTTCTAATGGCTGCTCCCCATCGCTTCCATTTCCTTAAGTGCCAACTCACTGCGCAATTCATTTCCACTGCCGGTGTCTCATAAACGCTAAAATAATTCCAATGTATAATTTAAAAGGCATCATGGTAAGTAATGACAATTGCAGCAGCTTATTTCATAAATATGTGTTTGAATCCATTACTACATGGATGAAATTTTGCATTGCCATGTAATTTGAAGTGTGCTGGGATGCTGTATTTGTCATGTAAAAAAGGCTCCCTCAAAATCCTTCTCCAGCTCTTTCTGAGTTTCCCTTGGTGGGGATGGTCACTGTGCTAATGTCTACTGCTTCTGCGATTTCTCCTCTCCTGCCCTTACTTTTCGTGGAGGTGCCTGTTTCGGGGACTTTCCAGAAGCCATGATCAGCACTGTGGCCCATACGATGGAAATCCAGCTGGTCTGACTTTGGAGCCTGTGCACCTGCCACGAGGCAGCCCTACGCAGTCCAGAGCCAGAACCTGGCAATCGCTGGGTACCCCAGAATATTTGCTGAGTGAATGGGCTGCTAGTCAGTGGAGTGTCCCCCACCAATGCTGCTGGGAAAGATGGCACAGGGCTCTCCAAACCAGTGCCCCTCAAATCGAATGTGCATACTGCTTCCCTGGGGACCCCATGACATTGCAGGTCCTGACTGGGGAGGGCTGGGTGTGTCCTGAGATTCTCCTCCGGTACTGAGTTTCCTGTGAGTCCACTGCTGCTGTTCTCTGGACGCAAGTGTCAAAGCACTCATTCACTCCTTGCGAGTCTCCACCCCTCGGCTTTGTATCATGCTAGTGCCCCGGAAAGCCTCATGCCTGAGCCTTATTGCTCCCGTCCCTCTGAGGCGGTGGCTCTCAGCCAGGGGAGATTTTGTCCCCCAGGTGCAATGGCAATGTCCTGAGACATATTTGGTTGTCACAACTAAGGGGAGGGTGCTACAGGCATCTAGTGGGTGAAGGCCAGGGCAGCAGCTGCACATCTTACAGTGCCTGGGACAGCCCCAAAACAAAGAATGAGCTGGCCCAGAATGTCAGTGGTACTGAGGTTGAGGAACC